TCGGAATGGAGATCAGTAACTAGTGGTGCTCTGCAGGGATTGGTGCTGGGACTTTGTTGTTTGTAATATATGTAAAAGATCTGGAGGGAAATGTAGGTGGTCTAATTAGTAAGTTTATGGATGACACAAAATTAGCAGTGTTGCAGATTGTGAGGAGGATTGTCAAAGGCTATGGCATGATATAGATAGATTGCAAATTTAGGCAGAGAGATGACAGATGGAGTTTAATCCGGACAACTGCAAGGTGATACATTTTGGAAGATCAAATTCAGGTACGAATTAGACAGTAAACGGCAGAACCCTTAGGAGCATTGACATACAGAGGGATCTGAACGTACAGGTCCACAGATCCCTGAAAGTGGCAACACAGGTGGATGAGGTGATCAATACTGCATACAGCACAGTTGCCTTCATTGGTCAGGGCATCGAATGTAAGAGTTGGCAAGTCATAGTACAGCTATATAAAACTTCAGTGAGGCCACGTTCGGAATATTGCATGCAGTTATGGTTGCCACACTACCAGAAGGATGTGGATGCTTTGGAGAGGATGCAGGTAGGTTTAACAGGATGTTGCCTGGTCTGAAGGGTTTTAGTTATGAGGAGAGGTTGGATAAACTTGAATTGTTTTCACCTGAAAGACGGCGGCTGAGGACTACTCTGATAGAGGTCTACAGAATTAGGAGAGGCATATATCGGGTGGATGGTAAGAGGCTTTTTCCCAGGATCGAAAGGTCAAAGTACAAGATGGCCCAGATTCAGGGTGGGGGGGGTGCGGGAAGGCGGGGAAAATTTTTCACACAGAGGCTGATGAATGCACTGCCAATGGAGTTGATCTTAGCAGGCTCATTAGAAATATTTAAGGCGTATCTTGATAGACACATGAACCGGAGGCAAATAGAGGGATAGGAACTGAATGTGGGCAATAAGTAGCAGGTCTAAATAGGATTAGGAATTGGCATAGGCTTGGTGGGCTGAAGGGCCTGTTCCTGTATTGTATTGCATAACTGCAAACTGGCCAGGTGGTAGTGGAAGAACAAGAGGACAGTAACAATGAGAAAAAGACAGTGCCATTCACCGTTATGCACACAGCCCCCGGGTCAGATACTGACAGAGTGCCTAGTTAGAGCTAAATAAAAACTGAAAGAACTGTGGATGCTGTAAATCAGGAACAAAAACAGGAGTTGCTGGAAAAGCTCTGCAGGTCTGGCAGTATCTATGGAGAAAAGATCAGAGTTAACATTTCAGCTCTGATGACCCTTCCTCAGAACAGTTAACGGTACCGGACCCAAAACATTAACTCTGATCTTTTCTTCACAGATGCTGCCAGACCTGCTGAACTTTTCCAGAAACTTGTTTTTGTGCCTAGTTTAGAACATTACTTAAAGAGAGGAATTTGCATGTCATTGGATACATATCCCATGATCTGCATCCATGGGGGAAAGGATAGAGCATGTTGGACAAAGTCACACATGGGTTCTACTGAAGAAATTTGCATGAACACTTTGATGGACCAGGCTACAATTGATGACTGATGCTGTGTATAACAAAATGCTTCATATATGGGTAGATCTGACAGAAAGCCTACAATCAATGACATGGAACATAAGAGACAAGTACCAACTTTGCACTAGACTTTCCACAGAGGTTAGGACCCATCTTTTTTTCAGCTTGTGGTCATGTAGCAGCAATAATATGATTGTAAATTCAACTGTAACACACCATACGATGGCTGGTGTCACAGCTTCTGTTGCAGCACTACCAGAAGTTATCCATTGTCTTATAAAATTTAGGGTTTGATTTTAGTTTTAATTGCAAGACCGAAGTCACTCTCAATTATAGTCTGAGTTTGAAAGAGTCAATCTAAAATTGTACTGTCTACAAAAAAGACCCTGACCTTCCAGTTGTCTGCCACATTAACACACCGCCCTGTTACCTGGTCAACATCTCTGTCTCAGGCTTGCTGCAGTGTTCCAACGAAGCTCAGTGTAAACTCGAAAAACAGCACCTCATTTACCACTTGAGGACCCTGCAGCCTTTTGGGCTTAATATTGATTTCAATAACTTTAGGGCTTGAGCTCTCCCATGTCCTTACCACAACACCCACACATCAGACTTGTTGTCACTGCTATTACATACAACCCATTGTTAGCCACTAACAGTCCCCATTAATAGCTGTTTGCCCTCCTAACCAGATCGTTATCCAGTCCTTTGTCTGTCCAACTGTTCTTCCCTCTCTTCGGGCTCTATCCACACCTATCGTTTACTTCTTATCCCCTCCCCCCACCCTATCTTCTGCATATAAACTGACATTTTCCTAGCTATCATCAGTTCTAAGGAAGGATCTCTCAACCCAAAATGTTAATTCCGATTTCTCTCTGCAGATGCTGCCAGACCTGCAGAGCTTTTCCAGCAATTTATGTTTTTTGTTTAAAATTTTATTGGTCCTGCTTCGCTACAAGAGTCATTCCAGGATGACTGACATCAACTGTTGCATTCTTGATGGCAACACCTCTACCAATCTGAGTTTACTTGACAACCAGTCAGCATTATCATGTAATGTAGTATAAACTTGTTCTCCCCTTCATTGCTATTCTTGCCATTCTGTGCCCTTGCCACTCTTAGTCCTTCCTCCAGCTGGTGATCAACATAGAAAAGTACTGATTCATCAGTTGGGGAAGAGGGTAGGTGCATGGCACATGGCCATCAGCAGGATGTTTCCTTGCCCACTTTCAGCCTAATGCCTTAAAATATCATAGGATCAAGAGTCAATGTCCCAGGGCGACTCTCACCCACTGTATACCACAGTGTCGCCACTTCTGCTGGGTCTGCCCTGTTGGTGAAACAGAATATGCCCAGGACGGTAATGGTGTTGTCTGGGATATTGTCAGTAAGGCATGAATTATTTTATAGTGAAGGCACCTGTAGGAAGCAGTAATCATAATATGATTAAATTTTATTTTCAATTTATAGGAAACAAGACTGTGTCCAGAGCTGGTATTTTAAGCTTTAGTAATAGCAGTTGTGATTGCATGAAACCAGAGCTAGCTAAATTGAACTGGTACATTGGTTTAAGGATAAATCAGGAGAGAAGTAGGACAGCCTTTGAAGGTGATATTTCAGAAAACGCAGGCTAAATACATTGCAGCAAGGAAGAAAAAAATTCAAAGGGAGGACCCACCATCTATGCATAAATGAAAAAATCAAAGAAGTATCAAACATGAAGAAAAACAAATAATTACACCCAGATGGCTGGCAGTTCAGAAGATTAGTCAGAATACTTAAAAAATGCAAAGAATTATGAAAATATTAATAAGATGGGAAATTAGAATTCGAGAAATCTAGCTTGAAATATGAAAGCAGATACAAGCAGAGTTTGTATAAATATTTAAAAAGAAAAGAATTAACACATTGAACGTGGATCCTATAGAAAGCATGTCTCAGGAGTTAATAATGGATAATAAGGGGACACAGACTAATTGAACAGGTTTTTGCCTTGGCCTTTAATGTACAGAATGCAAGTAACACCCAGAAATTGGTTGGAAATCAGGAAATGGAAGGTGCGGGGTGCGGTGCTCAAGAAAATTACAACCACCAGGGAAATGGTACTGAGCAAACTGTTGGAGTTGTGAGCTGCCAAATCCCCAGGCTTGATGGACTTCATCCTAAAGTTTTAAAATATCCTGGTTAGTGAGATTGTTGATATGTTGTTTTTAGTTTTCCAAAATTCCCTGGATTTGGAGAATGTTCCATTTGATTAGATATTGACAAATATAACTCCTTTACTCAAAAAGGGAGGGAGACAGAAAGCAGAAAATTACAGATCAGTTAGCTTAAAATCTCTCATTTCAATGGTGTCAGAATCTATTAATAAAGACGATATTGCAGGGCACTTTGGAAACATTTAAGGTAATCAGGAAGAATCAACATGGCTTTCTGAAAGAGAAGTTATGTTTAACCAATTACTTGGATTCTTTGAGAAATTAACACACAGTGTGGATAAAGTGGGACAGTGGATGTATTGTACTTTGATTTCCAGAAGGTGTTAAATAAATCATTGCAGAAAATAAGAGGTTGTGATGTGGGAAGTAACATATTGGCATAGGTAGAAAATTGTCTAGCTATCAGGAAACAGTGGGCATAAGTGGTCATGTTCAGGTTGGCAAGAATGTAATGAGTCGTGTGCCACTAAGGTCAGTACCGAAGCCTCAACTTTTTAGAGATAGCAGGAACTGCAGATGCTGGAGAATCTGAGATAACAAAATGTAGAGCTGGATGAACACAGCAGGCGAAACAGCATCAGAGGAACAGGAAAGCTGACGTTTCGGGTCTGGACCCTTCTTCAGAAATTTCTGAAGATGGGTCCAGACCCAAAACGTCAGCTTTCCTGCTCCTCTGATGCTGCTTGGCCTGCTGTGTCCATCCAGCTCTACCCCTTATTATCTCTGTCATTTGTTTTGTTTGTTTCTCAATCCTTAAATTTAATTGGTTAAGTTTCATTGGTTAAGGAGATAGACCATTAGACCCGATATTCATTGGGTCCCAGATGCCCCGTGACCTAATTACTTCATTGTCCATTTGTATTTCTATAACTTGCAGTACAAATGTTATGACCTAAAGGCTTCTGCGATTTCTAGAATGTGGAAATCATTATTGTTCGAAGAAAAATCCTAAATATAATTAACACAATGCATGAAGAATTAAATATGGAAATGAATTATGTTATCATTAAATTTCAGTAATAATAATTTCTATGGTCATACCTATGCGAAAAAAAGTGAATTTGAATATTTGAACCATGATCAAATAGCATAAAACTCAGGAAGGTTAAACAATGAGAGATAGTAAGAACTGCCGATGCTGGAGTCAGAGATAACACAGTGTGGAGTTGGAGGAACACAGCAGGCCAGGCAGCATCAGAAGAGCAGGAAAGCTGATGTTTCAGGTCGGTGGTATTGTGCAAGGAAATGATCTCAAGATATTTCTTTTATATCTATTAATAGTGTCCTGATTATGACTTGTGTGAACGTGTGTCTGGACAACGTCAAGATCCTCTCACTGGGAAAATATACCAGCAAGAACAATGGAACCCAGACAAAGGAGACAAAGATAAAGCCAAAGCAGAACCTGAAGAAGAAGAGACTGAAGAAGAGGAGGAAGTAGTTGAGGAGGTTGAAGAGGTAAGCGTTTAATTTCCTGTCTCAATTCCTGCATTATTACAATAATAATTTGAAAATTGAAGTTGGGATTTTGTGTTCCTGGTAGGAACATCTAAATGAGATGTAACTCAAATTCTCCAATCCACAGTTCCAGTAAGTGTGGCTTTCAGCAGGCTATGCTGGATTGCAGAAATGACATATCTAACTGCTTAAAAGAAACTAATTGTGAGGTTGCAGTTATGTTTGCAAGATGATTTCCTTGAATTTAAATAACCTCTTAACAACACCAAGAGCTTAATACTATAAGACCATAAGAAATTGGAACAGGGAGAGGCTGTTTGGTCCTTCAAACCTACTCCGCCATTCAGTGGAATTATGGCATACCCGATATTCCTCATGACCGCTTTTCTGTCCTTTCCCTATAACCCTTGATTCTCCTACTGATCAAGAATCAATCTATCTCAGCCTTAAAGATATGCAAGGACACTGTCCCCACAGGTCTCTGTGGCAAGGCATTCCAAGGACTGACAATCCTCTTGAGAAAAGAAATTCCCCCAATTTCAGTCTTAAATTGGTGTCCCCTTGTATTGAGACAATGGCATCTGGTTCTAAACTTTCCCATGAAGGGAAACAGTGCATTTACCCAGCCTAGCCCGTTAAGAATCCTTTATGTTTCAACGATATCACCCCTCATTCTTCTGATTCCAGTGAGTAGAGTCCCAGCCTATTTAGCCTTTGCTCAGAAGACAGTCCTTCCAAACCAGGGATCATTCAAATGAACCTTCTCTGTTTCCGTAGATAAGGAGACCAAAGTCTCACCACTACTTTGTACAGACGCAGTAAGACTTCCCTATTCTTGTCCTCCAACCGCCTTGATTACCTGCTAGCTTTCTGTGTTTCATGCATAAATACCCTCAAGTCACTTTGTGTTATGGAGTCATAGAGTCCATGCTAACTTTGCTTGATTAGATTTAGATTTTGTCAATGTTCTGCTATTACCTTTCTTAATACTGGATTCTAATATTTTTCCAACGAAGATATTAAACTAATCAGCCTACCGTTACTCTCTTATTGTTCACTCCCTGTTTGAAAGGGGTGTCGTATTAGTACTTTTCCAGTCCTCTGTTGCTTCTCCAGAGTCCATAGATTTTTGGAAAATTACTACCAATGCATCCACTATCTCTGTAGCTGCGTCTTTTGGGAACCTAGGATGCAAGATTTCATGGCCAGGGGACTTACCTGCCTTAAGCTCCATTAGTTTGTCTAATACTATTTCTTTAGGGATTGTTACGGTACTTAATTCCTCCCATGTATTCTTTAATATTAATAGAATTTTCAAAGTATCTTCCACCCTGAAGACTGATTCAAAAGGTCTGTTTAACTCCACTGCCATTTCCCAGATTCATTTTCTAAGGGGCCTATGTTCACTCTGACCTTGCTCTTCCTTTTATATATTTAAAGAAGCTCTTTTGGTGGTTTTTATATTCCTCACTAGTTTGCACTCAGGATTTATTTTCTGTCTTTAATTTTTTTTTAGTCCTCCTTTGCTGGATACTGAATTTATCCCAGACTGACTTTGGCACCTTTATATGCTTTTTCTTTCAACTTAATACCCTCAATAACTTACTTGGTTAGCTATGGTTGGTTTATCCCTTTCTTAGAATCTTTCTTCCTTATGGAATTACTTTTGCTGAGAGTCATGAATTACCTTCATAAATGTCTGCTACATGCTTGTTTACTGTCATTCCTGTTAATCTATCTGCCCAGTTCATTTTAGTTAACTCAATCCTCATTTCATTATAATTCCCTTTATTTAAGTTAAACACAGTTGTTTCCAACCCAGGTTTTTCACTCTCAAACAGAATATTAAACTCTATCATTTTATGATCAGTACTTTCTGTGGGATGTTTTACTCAATCATTCATTAAAGTTGTCTCATTACCCATTACCAGACACAGATAGTCTGTTTGCTGGTTGCTTCCATGACATTTTTTTATTCATTTGTGGGATGTGGGTATGGCTGGCTGGCCAGCATTTATTGCCTGTCCCCTACTTGCCCTTGAGAAGGTGGTGGTGAGCTATCTTCTTGAATCACTGCAGTCTACCTGCTGTGGTTTGACCCACAATGCCCTTATGGAGTGTAGGAGCATACTCCCCCTGACTAGGGGCAAAAACGCAGGAGGCAGACATGATTCAGGCAAATGGAAGATGTTTATTGAACCAGAAACTGGTTGATGCAGGGAGACAGCCAAAAAATCTTCCCCAAATCAGAAGGGAGATCAATGGCACACTGATTTTTTTACAGTGAAAATACAGCATTTTATACACTTTGTGACAGTGATCAAATACAGCATAGTCACTTTCCTGCTCTCTGAATCCACAACCCAATCCTGTGGTTCACCTAATCAACGATGGGCATTCCTGTGGACAACCCCAGATTCCCATGGTCTTATGGCGTTTGTAATCTCTAGGCCTTGGGATCTTTCTATGCATTCTATTCATTCAAAATTCAAAAGTTTACTGGCTACACTCCTTCGGATCTGTCTCAGGCTTCCAATCTCTAAGGACAATGTGAATTCTATGATTCATTGTACTACATGCACATTATTTTATCAAATCCAGCAATTCCTCTAATATTTCCCACTGTCCCAATTGCATAATGTTAAAAAAATCAGTTATTTTAAACTAATTTCTATAAGGTTAATTACTGTTATAAAGTTAACTATAAATTGTAATGTTATACAACTTCTTCTACTATTAGCATTTTGTAATTTGAGTTGTGAGCAATCTAACTTGTTCAAGGCATAAGAGGAGGTATCTCCTAAGACTAGTTAACCTTCATCTAAGCTTAAATGTTATTTAAATGCTTGTATTATATTCTGGTTATGTATTGAAACCAACTACTATGATTGAAGCATTTTTAACTAGAAACCATTTAATATCGCAGGTAGCTTCAAAGAAGCAACTATTTACTACGAAATAACTTTAGCTGTTGTCCTTGCAGCTGCTCAGAGACTTAATCTAGCACTTGATGTTATTGATTTACTGCAACAATCATCCTTTCACTAATAAGGCTGGAATTCATCATTTATCTGTCCTAAGGCATCCTTTTTATCAGAACTGTCTCGGATGGGAGCATGCAGTGTTCTTTTACTGACCTAGCAGTTCTGTTCAAAGGTACCATTATATTTCACAGTGTGAACAGGCTGCTTAGTTTTGTTTAGCTTCTGTCTGCCATCTTGTAAGCAGGTATGGACTGTTTAGTGTGGTCAGATACAAGTCACCTTACATGGCCAGGTATAGGTCACCCTATAGGGAAGGAATTCCAGGATTTTGACCCAGCAACAGTGAAGGAACGATGATATTTTCCAAGTCAGAATGGTGGGTGGCTTGGAGGGGAATTTGCAGGCAGCCATTACCTGCAAGGAAGCTATCCTTGATGTTATGTGTGAATTCATTGCCACAGCGACCCTTTCCAATTTGATTAACCCAATCAACATGAAGAATACAGTCACCCATGATTGAGGCTCTATTATTTTTATATGCTCTGATTATTTGTTGATTTATAGCCTTTCCCACGATTGGCTATATTGCTCCTACCAATGCCTTCTTTCTCTTACCTCTGCCTAAATGGACTCTACATCGTTTGAGCCTAGATCATCTCTCATAACTGTTTTTATTTCATCTCTTATTAACAGTGCTACTCACCACCTTTTCCATCCCTCCTATGTCTCTGAAAAGTCAAATGTCCCTGATTGTTAAATTCCTAGTTTTGATCTCCTTATAACCATGTTTCTGTCATGGTTATAAGATCATTACCTCAATTTGTGCCGTCAGTTCATTTACCTTATTCTGCATGTTTGGTGCATTAAAATACAAAGTCTTAATGTTTGTTCTATTATCGAATTTCCCTATACTTTATGGTTCCTTGGTATAATATGACATTCACACGTTCTGTTCCTTCCTTTTATTTTCCAGTAACAACCAACTCCCATCGCTAACCTGCAATCCTACCTTCACCCTTACTATTGATTTTACAATTTCTTCAATCTCTTCTGGTCCATCTTCTACCTGAAAAAGACAGCTTCCTGATGAGGACTGACCCTCACATGGACTGCCTTAAGACTCCGACCACTATTTCTGGGGCTAGCAAGCTAGGCTGTATTTATCGCTTATACACAATTACCTTTGTCCCTTTCGCCTACCTGCATCTGAGGGTTAGTTTTTATTCTTGTTGGGAGCAAAATTTATATTTTCCTAAACACAGCATTGAAAATAGGGTACAAATGCCAGATGATTATTTGAGGTCAGCTTGTAGAACATTGTAGCCTGGTGGTATTTATTGTTACCTTCTAATTTGTCTTACTTTTTAGAAATTGTTTATGTTTGGGGGAAACAAGCACCTGCTGAAAGAACAGTTACATGAGATCTCATGCTAATATCTCATACTAAGTACAAAAAAAAGTATATTTGTACATAAAACATATTACCATATTATTGTATGATATTGTAGTTTTTTAAATGTTACAATCCTTTCCCCTGATTTTATTTAGCAATTGTTGTCTGTAGGATTTAACCACATTTTATTAATGATCATTTCAAAGCTAAATGCATCAATGAAATATATTTTCTGAATGTTTGCAATTAGGATGAAGGTTTAGATCTTGATGCAGGCCTTATTGCACGTTTAGTGAAGAGACCCGATGATCTTCGCGCAATTATTGAAAAACAAGTCGCCCTATACAAAGACAAAATGTTGAGGCTTTTAGAGGTAAGGAATAATTTCATAGGTTTTCAGACTTAACTTGATATTTTGTGACTACAGATGTTTTTGCAGCACCTGCAGTATTCTTATATTTTTACATTCTTATTATAATATAATTGTATTTCTCTATACATTTTTATATATCTAATCTGTACAGGATTATATGGCTGATCATGATCGACAAAATGTGATAGAATTGGATGGAAACAACAAGCCAGATGAGTTGTTTGTGGTAAGAAAATTGTGATCAAGCATTTTAACAATGCCATGTTTTTAAGCTTTATTGAAACAATTCAATGTCAACTATTTGAAGTGTGGTGAAGTCAGAAGATTAAAGTGCATCAGTAGAGAAACTACTTCACTCGATTGGAATACATACCTGAGAGTCATTTATTGACAAATTTCAACATTGTAAAACTACTTTAATGTTTTCCCTATTTCAAAGTGCATGGACGAGGGTTCGAATCCCACCACTGCAGGTGGTGGAATTCTTCTCAGGAATTAATAGTCTAATGATGATCACGAAACCACTATCAATTGGTTCTCTATTGTTCTTCAGTCAGGGAAATCCACCAACCTCACTTTGCCTGGCCTACATGTGAATCCAGACTCACAGCAATGTGATTGACTCTCAACTGCCCTCTGTTGTAACAATCATTATGAAGTCTCAACAAAGAATTGAAACTGAATGGACCACTTGCCACTCACAAAAGACAAAGGCTTAAACAGCTAAGCCTGCAAAGTCCTTCTGACTGCTCTCGTGCCAAAATTGGGAGAGCTCTCCCATAGACTAGTTAAGCAACAGCCTGGCATATTCATACACACAGAATCAGACCTTACACAGAATGTGCCAGACACCACCATTACCATCCCTGGATATGTCCTATTCCATTGGCAGGACAGAACCAGCAGAGTTGGCAGTACAGGTATTTCTGCTATAACGCGTGATTCGTTAACGTGAATTGGCTGTAACGTGATTGATGAGTGGTGGACACTGTTTAGATAATATGAACTTTCTACTGTACAGTATAGCGATTTTGTATAGTGATTTCCCTAAAACCCAATTTTCTATGCCAATTTTCTATAGCGCGATTTTCTAAAGTGCGAGGTTGCACAAGAACACAACTGTCATGTTATAGGAGAAATACCTGTACAATTATAAACAGTTGGAATGGAGTTACCCTGGAAATCCTCAACAGTGACTCCTGACACCATGAAGACTCATGGAATGAGGTTAGACATGGGCAAGGAAACATCCTGCTGATTACCACCCCTCACCTGATGAATTAGTGCTCCCCCCACGTTGAACAACACTTGGAAGAAGTATTGAGGGCGGCAATGATGCAGAATATACTCTGGGTGAGGGGGATTTCAATGTCCATCACCAAGATTGGCTTGGCAGTAGTACTACTGATTAAGCTGGTTGGTTCCTTCAAGTCATAGCTGCTAGACTCGGTCTATGGCAGGTGGTGAGAGAACTTACAAGAGGGAAAAACATACTTGACCTGGTCCTCACTAATTTGCATGCCACCCGTACAGCTGTCCATTTAGTATCGGTAAGAGTCACTAGATAGTATAGGTAAGAGAGTCCTTGTGGAGCCAAAATTTATGATTATTTGGAAAAGCACAGTTTGATTAGAAATAGTCAGCATGGCTTTGTGAGGGGCAGATCATGCCTCACAAGCCTTATTGAATTCTTTGAGGATGTGACAAAACACATCGATGAAAGTAGAGCAGTGGATGTGGTGTATATGGATTTTAGCAAGGCACTTGATAAGGTTTCCCATGGTAGGCTCATTCAGAAAGTAAGGAGGCATGGGATCCAGGGAAATTTGGCTGTCTGGATACAAAACTGGCTGTCCAATGGAAGACAGAGGGTGATAGTAGATGGAAAGTATTCAGCCTGGAGCTTGGTGACCAGTGGTGTTCCGCAGGGATCAGTTCTGAGACCTCTGCTCTTTGTGATCTTTATAAATGACTTGGATGAGGAAGTGGAAGGGTGGGTTAGTAAGTTTGCCAGTGACACGAAGGTCGATGGAGTTGTGGATAGTGTAGAGGGCTGTTGTAGGTTGCAACGGGACATTGATAGGAATCAGATCTAGGCAAAGAAGTGACAAAGGAATTCAACTCAGAAAAGTGTGAAGCGATTTATTTTGGAAGGTCGAATTTGAATGCAGAATACAGGGTTAATGGCAGGATTCTTGGCAGTATGGAGGAACAGAGGGATCTTGGGGTCCACATCCATAGATCCCTCAAAGTTGCTATGCAAATTGATACGGTTGTAAAGAAGGCATATGGTGTGTTGGCTTTCATTGGCAGGGGAATTGAGTTTAAGAGCCATGAGGTTATGCTGCAGCTCTATGAAACCCTGGCTAGACCAGACTTGGAATATTGTGTTCAGTTCTGGTCGCCTCATTTATAGGAAGGATGTGGAAGCTTCAGGGAGGGTGCAGAGGAGATTTACCAGGAGGCTGCCTGGACTGGAGGGCAGGTCTTATGAAGAAACGTTGAGGAGCTAGGGCTTTTCTCATTGGAGCGAAGAAGGATGAGAAGTGACTTGATGCAGGTGTACAAGATGATGAGAGGCATTGATAGAGCTGATAGCCAGAGACTTTTTCCCAGGGCAGAAATGACTGTTACAAGGGGGCATAATTTTAAGGTTTGATCTTAGAGTAGGAGAAGAGGTCAGCACAACATCGTGGGCCGAAGAGCCTGTACTGTGCTGTACCGTTCTATGTTCTATGTTTAAAATTTTGATTTCACATTTCCAGCTCCAGGACATCTCTGCAGGAATTGCTTAGGATAGTGTCCTAGACCCAATCATCTTCAGCTACTTCATCAATGACCTTCCCTCCACCATAAGTGCAGAAGTGGGAATGTTTGCTGATGATTAAACAATGTTCAGCGCTATTCACAACTCCTCGGATAATGAAACATTTGCATGTCCAAATGCAACAAGACCTGGACAGCATCCAGAGTTGGGTTGGAAAGTGTTAAGCAACAGTGGCTTCCTTTCCACATTAGGGAGCCTCCTTCCCTCCCAAATGAATTCTACTGCTGCAGCACTCCCTTCCCCTGGGTAAGATCTCTCCATTACATTTGCCAGACAATGACCACCACTAAGAGTCAATCTAAGTTTCAGCCTTTGGTGATAACGGCATCATCATTACCGAATCCCTACTACTATCTAGAAGGACAAGGGCAGCAGGTACTTGGAACATCAAGCCCTCTATGTCACTTACCATCCTGACTTAGAAGTAACAAGGTGTAGAGCTGGATGAATACAGCAGGCCAAGCAGCATCAGAGGAACAGGAAAGCTGACGTTTCGGGCCTAGACCTTTCTTCAGAAATGGGGGAGGGGAAGGGGATTCTGAAATAAATAGGGAGAGAGCGGGAGGTGGATAGAAGATGGATAAAGGAGAAGATAGGTGGAGAGGAGACAGACAGGTCAAAGAGGTGGGAGTGGAGCCAGTAAAGGTGTGTGTAGATGGGGAGTTCGGGAGGGAATAGGTCAAGGGAGGGGAGATTTTGAAGCTTGTGAAGTCCACATTGATACCATTGGGCTGCAGGGTTCCCAAGCGAAATATAAGGTGCTGTTCCTGCAACCTTCGGGTGGCATCGTTGTGGCACTTCAGGAGGCCCAGGATGGACATGTCGTCTGAGGAATGGGAGGGGGAGTTGAAATGGTTTGCGACTGGGAGGTGCAGTTGTTTAGTGCGAACCGAGCATAGGTGTTCTGCAAAGCGGTTCCCAAGCCTCGGCTTGGTTTCCCCGATGTAGAGGAGGCCACAACGGGCACAGCGGATACAGTATACCACATTGGCAGATGTGCAGGTGAACATCTGCTTGATGTGGAAAGTCTTCTTGGGGCCTGGGATGGGGGTGAGGGGGGAGGTGTAGGGGCAGGTGAAGCACTTCCTGTGATGCCACCCGAAGGTTGCAGGAACAGCACCTCCTATTTCGCTTGGGAACCCTGCAGCCCAATGGTATCAATATGGACTTCACAAGCTTCAAAATCTCCCCTCCCCCAACCGCATCCCAAAACCAGCCCAGCTTGTCCCCGCCTCCCTAAACCTGTCCTTCCTCCCACCTATCCGCTCCTCCCACCTCAAGCCCCACCCCCTTCCCCTACCTACTAGCCTCATCCCACCCCCTTGACCTGTCCGTCCTCCCTGGACTGACCTATCACCTCCCTAACTCCCCACCTACACTTACCTTTACTGGCTCCATCCCCGCCTCTTTGACCTGTCTGTCACCTCTCCACCTATCTTCTCCTTTATTCATCTTCTTTTCGCCTCCTCCTCTCTCCCTATTTATTTCAGAACCCCCTTCCCCTCCCCCATTTCTGAAGAAGGGTTTAGGCCCGAAACGTCAGCTTTCCTGCTCCTCTGATGCTGCTTGGCCTGCTGTGTTCATCCAGCTCTACACCTTGTTATCTCAAATTCTCCAGCATCTGCAGTTCCTACTATCTCTGACTTAGAAGCATATCACTGTTCTATCAATGTCACTGGGTCAAAATCCTGCAGCTCCTTCCCTAACAGCATTCTAGGTCTACCTACAGGAAATGGCCTATAGCTATTCAAAAAGGCAGCTTGTCACCATCTTCTCAAAGGCAATTTGAGATGGGTACGAAATGCTGGTATGACAGACACACTCACATCCTGTCAATGAATGTTTAAAAATTCCCACTTTAAATCATTCCAATTTTATTTGAATGTCAGGCAAAAATTGTACAATTCGAGAACCTCTTGGCTATGCATTTCTTCCTGTTATATACACCTTCAAACCATGGCTGAATTTCACATGCCCCAACTGAGTAGAGAGCATGTAAAATTCCCCAGGTAACCCTTCCACTGCCCTTTCTCAGCAGGAAAGTAGGGGAATGGGGTTGTATCTCCATCAGTGGCTTCCTTTCCACATTAGGGAGCCTTCTTCCCTTCCAAACGAATCCTACTCCTGCAGCACTCCCTTCCCTGGGTGAGATCTCTCCATTACACTTGCCATCATCAAAATTCATGCAGAGACCCTGTTGCCTGAAAAGTAGGATTCAAACCTTTACCCAGGTATTGTTCCCTTGTGCGACAGGTAAAAGGCAGGGAACTGGCTCAGAACTTAATTAAATAAACCTTTCTTTATTTAACTCTTTAAGTATAATACTCAATACAAAACATTCATTGCAACATTTGCATCTTATTTCATCTAACAATTTCAACTTTAACTCACTTTATTCAGTTTCACTCAATCTTACTTTACTTAATCCACATTTAACCCAAACTCTTATTAACTCTCTAACTTTGGCTTAAATCAAATACTATCCTGATTTGAGTGAAGAAGCCAACTTTTGTTCTCTAAGTATGTCTTGCCTCATGGTTCTTTGTCTTCTCTGAAGGTGACGTCAGGGCACACGCTTCTCAAATATGTTCTGGAATGCTTCTCCTGAGAAAATTCCTTTGCTCTACTAACTTATCTGAAAATGTGCTCTGTTTCCAGCAAGTTTTTTGTCACTCAGCAAATGAATTGATCAAAGGCTGATCAGATTGTTCGATCTCAGAGAATGGTGTTTACTGGGTTAAAAAACACTCACAATGTTTACACTGAGTGGTAAACAGCAACATTCCATGCTCCATATAAGGTAGTTTGGTGCCTGTATGTCTAAAGACAACCATAAAACCTGCCTTATTTGGTTTACACAGGAAACTGCCGGTCACAACATATCCTGGCTGCAGTTTCAACTGAGAGTTTAAGTGAGAGTTTAACTAGCTTGACCAAAATTCCCAGCATGGTTGATCATGGGTGATTTTAATCTGCACATAGATTGGGCAAATCAAATTAGCCACAGTGCCATAGAGGAGGAATTCCTGGAGTGTATACGGGATGGTTTTCTTGACCAATATGTGGAGGAACCAACTCGAGAGCAGGCCAGCTTAGATTGGGTACTGAGCAATGAGAAGGGAATCATTGCCAATCTAGCCGTGCGAGACCTCTTGGGGAAGAGCGACCATAACATGATAGAATTTTTGCATCAAGATGGAGAGTGAAGTTTGTTGATTCGGAGACTAGGGTGCTGAACCTGAATAAATGAAACTACGAGGATATGAGGCATGAGTTGGCCTTGATAGACTGGGGAGAGATACTTAGAGGGATGACAGTGGATAGGCAATGGTAAAGATTCAAGGAATGCATAGGGGAACTGCAACAACTGTTTAGTCCTGTCTGTCCCAAAAGCAAGATGGGTAAGAGGCCAATCCATGCCTTACAAAGGAAATAAGAGATAGTATCTGATCCAAGGAAGAGGTATATAGATTGGCCAAGAAAAACAATAAATCTGAAGTAACAAGGTGCAGAGCTGTTTGGGAGCAGTTTAGAATTCAGCAAAGAAGGACAAAGGGATTGGTTCAGAAGGGGAAAATAGAGTATGAAAGTAAGCTTGCAGGGAACATAAAGACCGATGCCAAGAGTTTCTATTGGTACATGAAGAGAAAGAGATTGGTAAATACAAATGTAGGTCCCCTACGGACAGAACCGGGGCAATGTATGTGAGGAGACAAAGAAATGGCTGAGGAACTGAATACATACTTGGGTGCTGTCTTCACAAAAGAGGACACAAATCAGATTCCAGAATTGTTGGAGGATGCAAGATTTAGTGAGAGGGAAGAACTGAGGGAGATCAATATTAGTAGAGAAATGGTGCTGGGAAAATTGTTGGGATCGAAGGCCAATAAATTCCCAGGGCCTGATAATCTACATCCAAGAGTACTTAAGGAAGTAGCTGTAGAAATAGTGGATGCATTGGTGGTCATCTTCCAGGATTCTATAGACTCTGGAACAGTCCCTGCAGATTGGAGAGTGGCTGATGTCACTCCAATATTCAAAAAGAGTGGTAGAGAGAAAACAGGGAATTATAGACTGGTGAGCCTAACATTAGAAGTGGGGAAAATTCTCGAATCCATTGTCCAGGATTTTATAACAGATCATTTAGGAAGCAGTGGCAGGATCAAACAGAGTCAGCATGGATTTATGAAGGGGAAATCACGCTTGACAAATCTGTTGGAATTCTATGAAGATGTAACTAATAAAGTTGACCAGGGGGAGCCAGTCAATGTAATATATTTGGACTTTCAGAAAGCATTTGACAATGTCCCACATAAGAGATTAATGTGCAAGATTAAAGAGGATTGGACTGGGGGAAGTGTATTGAAATGGATAGGAAACTGGTTAGCAGAGAGGAAACAGAGAGTAGGAATTAATGGGTCCTTTTCAAATTGGCAGGCAGTAACTAGTGGGATGCCACAGGGATCGGTGCTGGAACCCCAACTATTCTAAGATATGTTAATGATTTGGATGAGGGAACAAAAAGTAACATCCCCAAGTTTACAGATGATACCAAGTTGGGTGGGAGGGTGAACTGTGACGAGGATGCAGAGATTCTTCAGCATGATCTCGACTGGTTGGGTGAGTGGGCAAATCAATGGCCAATGCAATATAATTTGGATAAATATGAGGTTATTCACTTCAGAAGTAAAAACAAGAAGGCAGATTACTACCTGAATGGTTGTAGACTGGGAGAGGGAAGCGTGCAGTGGGACCTGGGCGTCCTTACTGAAGGTAAGCATGCAGGTATAGTAGGCGGTAAAGAAGGCAAATGGTATGTTGGCCTTCATTGCGAGAGGTTTCGAGTACAGGAACAGGGATGTGTTGTTGCAGTTGTGCAGGGCCTTGGTGAGACCACACCTGGTAGATTCTGTGCAGTTTTGGTCTCCTTTTCTGAGGAAGGATGCTCTTGCTCTCGAGGGAGTGCAGTGAAAGTTTACCGGGCTGATTCCAGGGATGGCGGGTCTGACGTATGAGGAGAGATTGACTAGGTTGGGATTGTTTTTGCTGGAGTTCAGACAAATGAGAGGGAATCTCATAGAGACTTAAAAAATTCTAACAGGACTGGACAGGGTAGATGTAGGGAGGATGTTCCCAGTGGTGGGTGTGTCCAGAACCAGGGGTTACAGTCTGAGGATTCAGGGTAGAAGATTTAGGATGGAGATGAGGAGTCAGTTCTTCGTGAAAAGAGTGGTGAGCCTGTGGAATTCATTCCCACAGGAAGTAGTTGATGCCAAAACATTGGATGTATTCGAGAGGTGACTAGATATAGCACTTGGGGTGAGTGGGATCAATGGTAATCAGGAGAAAGCAGGATTAGGCTATTGAGATGTATGATCAGCATGATCATGAAGAATGGCGGAGCAGGCTCGAAGGGTCAAATGGCCTCCTCCTGCTCCTATCTTCTGTGTTTCTATGTTTCTGTGATTGTGGCTCTTAACCAGTCTAGCAGCCATTTCTGCTGTTCGCCACCTGATCAGAACTCCCACTTGACATTCTACTTCTTATCATTCAAAAGAGCAATGAGTAAAGTTAATTGTCATTTGTATCAGATGTGATCGATATTGCTTTTTATAGCAAATATATTGTACCCCATTTTAGAACAGTAATTTCAAGGAAACAAGTAAGGGATGTCTGGTAGAGTTTGAAACTGAAAACTGAGAATGAAATAAGAAGGACTTGCCGCTCATGATTTTCTGATGTCACAAAGTGCATCACAGGAAATGAAGTACTTCTGAAATGTAGGCACTATTGTAAAGTAGGGAAACATGGCAGCCAATTGCACACAATGAGGTCCCACAGACAGCATTGAGATTAACAACCTGATGATTTGTTCTTTAGTGACACTGCTTGAAGGGCAATTTTTTTTTTAAGTCCTGAAGGGCAAGTGATGCTTCAGTTCAACTTTCATTTGAAAAACAACATCTCAGACAGTACAGCATATCTTCAGTACTAATTGACATGTTGGTCTAGATAGTTTTGCTCATACTTGAATTCATGACACAATTCAGAAGCGAGTGTACAATCAACCTAGCCACAGTTTACTCCTTTGATTGTTAATTTTCTGAAGAAAGGTCTAGGCCCGAAACGTCAGCCTTCCTGCTCCTCTGATGCTGCTTGGCCTGCTGTGTTCATCCAGCTCTACACCTTATTATCCTTTGATTGTTACTTAGTTCAGAGAAACCCCTACTCCCAGACAAAATGCTTTTGAAAGTTTCATCTCAGTTCAAATTGAAAAGCGCAATACAATATTACATGGACTAAATTATCCAAAGCATGCAGAATAGTTTACTTCAATTAACCTTGAGTTGAAGAAATGTACAATTTCATCTAGAAATAAAGGCCAAAAAATCCTTTGGTCCTGTTACCTCATTTTCTTATTCTCACTACAAATATATTTTTCCACCTTGTTAAAATTACTTATGACTAATGTCTTATTACGCATTAATCTGTTTTTCCCATAATTTTACTATCTTCTACATTCCATTTTTGGAGCAGATTTTTGAACAGTCCTGTTTTCAGTGTACTAGAATATAACATTAGGAATAATTTTGAGGATTTCAAAAAGTCGTAATGAAAAGTTTAAGTGTTTATTTTGTAATAATTTCTATTTTGTTTAATTCATCTTTATTTATTGCAAATACAAGCTACAAAATACTGTTTTATATGCAGATTATTAATGAGCCTGTAGTTGTTTGTAATTTAAATTTGAATGTGTTCAAACAATATTTCTTTCTTAAGTGTACTTTTTGAGGAGTTTTCTTTTTCTTTGCTTTTTAGTCAGTGATGTACAAATTGGAATTCCTGGGTTTACAACCTGCAGCTCTAGTACAATCCCTAAATGAAGAAGATGAAGAAGAAACACCAGAAGAAATTGAAGATGTGAGTAATTGTTCAGGAAGAACAGCCGTGTTCTATTTAAGCATTGAACTAATGTCTTAATTTATTTTTCAATTTATTTTGAATTCTCCATTCACCTTGACATCAAGCATTGCTATCACTAGGCATCGCTACCATAGACTAATATAAGGTATGCTTGGCATGGGAGAAAGCACTGCAAATGGTTCATCCACAAACATTTGTTGATCAATTTATTTTGTATTTTAATCTCTTGTCAGCAAAATTTGGATTACTGAAAAAATCCACGGTCTTCTGCTTGATACTTTGTTGCACAGAAAAGCATCTTGGGTTAAATATGCATAAATGTTGTTTTCAGTTTTCTTCTTCAGATGATCCCTTACTCAAACATGTTCTGTCCATTCTTGAATAATTTCATTATTGAGCTAACTTGCATTCAGACATAATTCCACCTAAATATATGTAGCAGATAGTGCTCCTCTCTGATTCTGTTTATTCTGATTTAATTGAAGGCATCATCCATGATTAAATTATAACAGTCATTGTGGAGTCACAGTTTGGTACAATATGGTAAATTATTTCTTTGAACTTTATTCTCATGATTTGAAATATTTATATTTTACCTAACCCAATGAATGAGTGTTTTTCCAATATGTTGGAAGAATGGTTACAAAGTAGAAAAGGATCATTTGGCCTATAATGACCGTGCTGGTTTTCAGCAAGAGCAACTCAGTTAGCCCTTTCTCATTCACCCTGTAAATATATTCCTTTTAGATGCTTATTCATTTCCCTTTTAGAAACCTTATTGTATCTCCTACTATTTCACTCTCATTTGGTACATTCTGGATCCTAATGACTGACTACATATAAAGGTCTTTCTACGTGTTACCACTGGTTCTTTTATCAATCACTTTAAATCTGTGTGCCCTGGTTCTCAGCCTTTCTGCCAATAGAAACAGTTTCTCTCTATTTTTACCATCTAGATCCCTCCTGGCTTTAAATGCTTGATCAAATCTTAACCCAGCCTTCTCTTTTCTGAGAAGATCAACCTGCAATCTGTTAAAATCACTGAGGTTCAGTCTTCCTGGAACCATTCTTGTAAATCTTTTCTGCATCGTCACTAAAGCCTTTACATCCTTCCCAAAGTGTGGCAAATTAGTCACATACAATTTCTTCATAAATCTGTGATCAGCTGGCACACCAGTTGGTCAGTTCTTTGCCATATATTGCTTTTAATCTACATTTAATGCTTTTAAAAGTAACAGAAGCTTTCCTCGTTTTTTTGTTTCTTTCTGTTTTGTTTTATTGCATTGGGAATCAGAAATCTATCTGTATCAGTCCTCAATACAACACAAGCACTCTGCCCCACAACTCTCCATGGCGAGGAGTTCCAATGACTCAAAACCCTCTGAGAAAAGACATTTCTCTTCTTCTCAGTCTTAAATTAGCACGCTTTATTCTTAGACTCTGCCCTTTGGACCTTCGATAATCTCCCATGAAGGGAAATGTTCTCTCAGCATTTCCCCTTTTAGTCTCAGTTTAAGAGGTTCTTGTGCAAAGTTTATACTAATATAATGGCATGAATTGAGAATTGATTCTCAGACAGGCAAAGGAGAAGATGAGTAAAATTGAGATAACATGGTGTAGAGCTGGATGAACACAGCAGGCCAGGCAGCATCAGAGGAGCAGGAAAGCTGATGTTTTGGATCTGGACCCTGAAGTAGGGTCTAGACCCGAAACATCAGCTTTCCTGCTCCTATGATGCTGCCTGGCCTGCTGTGTTCATCCAGCTCTACACTTTGTTATCTCAGATTCTCCAGTATCGGCAGTTCCTACTATCTCTAGATGAGGAAATTTGTCATTTTTAGAGTGGAAGGCAGTGACAAGTATGGTACCACGGGCCTCAGCTATTCGCTATTCACAATATATATCAATGATTTCGATGAGGGAATCGAGTGTAATATTTCCAAGTTTGCTGATGACATGACACTAGGTGGGAGTGTGAGTGATGAGGAGGATGTAAAGAGGCTTCAAAGTGACTAAGAGAAGTTGAGTGAGTTGGCAAATACATGGCAGATACAAGATAATGTGGATAAATATGAAGTTGTTGAGTTTGGTAGGAAAAGTAGAATGAAAAGATTATTATTATTAAATGGTAATGGATTTTGAAAGGGAAACTTGTGTGTCCTTATAGACTGGTCATTGAAAGCAAGCATGCAAGTGCAGCAGCAGTTAGGCAAATGTTATGTTGCCTTCATTGCATAAGGGTTTGAATACAGAAGTAAATAAGTAAGTCTTATTACAGCTATACCGGCCTTGGTGAGACCTCACCTGTAATATTGTGTGCAGCTTTGGACTCTTTACCTCAGAAAAATATACACAACATAAAGGGAGTGCAGCAAATGTTAATCAGTTGATTCCTGCGATGGCAGGTTTGCTTGAGGAGAGATTGGGTTGACTGAGCCTGTATTCACTGGAGTTTAGAAGCGTGAGGGGAGAAATATATAAAATTCCAACAGGGCTAGACAGCCTGGATACAGGGATTAGGTTTTTCCTGGCTGGGGATTTTGGGGAGGGAGTGATGTGGGGTCTGTGGAGTCCAGAATGACAGGCAAGTTTCAGGACACACAGATATTTCGTATTGAGATGAGAGGAAATTTCTTCATACAGAAGGCTTTGGAGGCTGAATTTATTAAGAAACAAATAACTAGATTTCTAAAGGTGTCTAGGGATATGGAGAGAGAAAGAGCAAGAGTACAGTGTTGAGGTAGAGGACCAGCCATGGTTATGTTGAATGGTGGAGTGGGTTTGATGGACCAAATGGTCTACTATGTTCTATGTTTCATAATGATCTCAACTAATGTTATTACTGGACAAGTCAGATCCCAGATTGAAATCTGGCTTGATCGATGATATTTTTTTTTTAGTTTCAATAAGATGGTTTTTCAGTGAGGCACAATCATACGTTATTGTAGATTTCGATTTAGCAATAAAACAGAAGCTTCTTATGCAAAAGAAATGAAAACATAATGGAATGAACCAAACTATTTACATATCACACATTTAAAGATTTTGAAATACACAGTAGAAGTACAATCTCATTAATCCTGACAGTATTCTATTGCAGTGGTAAAACAAGAGAGAATGTCCTTTCCTATCCCACTTTTTCACTTAGCTATGGCTTCAATTCTGATCATTGGAATCTGATAGCCTTTTGCTGAGCCTCCATACAACTGAGCATGAACTATTGTAGCTTCAAATAACTCCTTCAGGTTTTTAACCAAACACCTATTCTCTTCTACCTATTTTTAACAATTCTAAATTATTTTCACCCTTTCTCAGGAATAACTGTTTTACACATCTACCTTCAGCAAAGAACCCTGCAGATCTTCCCTAACCTGAAGCTAAAAAGCAGTTTTCCAAGCTATGGATGTTTCCACTAAGCTGAAAAATAAATTCCTGAATCTTCTACTGAAAGCTTAATGCACTGAACTGTTTACTTTGTTTCTCCCAATGTAAACAAAAACCCATTATTGTCCAGGAAGTCTTTCTCTCTCACTGTGTTTTAAAAGAAATCACCATGGCTACAGAAATTGGTTAAGTTAATCATGAAATCCCTTGAGACATACAGAAAACCCGTTTCCCACAAGTTCAAAATTCAAAAATCTAAACCCAAAAATAAATGATAATAAAATATATGTAAATCCTCCACATTACGTCATCGTTTCTATAGGTCGCATCTTACTCCTGATTCCAGCAGATCAAGCCTCATCTGCTCAATCTTGCATCATAAGACACCCTGAGTATTTCAAGTATTAGTCTATTAAACCTTCTCAAACTCCTTCAGTGCATTTACATCCTTTAGTAAATAATGTCACCATACTTTACACGTATTCCAAATGCGGTCTCACCAATACCCGATATAATTGAAGCATATTCTTCCAGCTTTTGTATTCAGTTCCCGTCGTGTTTACTGATAACATTCTGTTAGCTTTCCTAATTATTTGCTTTAGCTTCAAAATAACCTTCTGTGATTCACAACCAGAACCCTCTCCATCTTAGACCCTTGCAATCTCTCATCATTCAGATTTTTTAAAATTCTTCCTGTCAAATGATGTAAGTTCACATTTTTGCACACTATACTCCATTTGTTAGATCTTTTTCAACTTACTTAACCTACCAGTATATTTTTTGTAATTTCCTGATGCTTTCTTCACAGTTTACTTCACTACTTATCATTTTGTTTTTAGCAAATTTTCCCATCACATCTTGCATCACTTTGTCTAAGTCAATTATATAAATTATAAAGGCAATGAAGTCCATTAGACATAGGAGCAGAAGTAGGCCATTCAATCCATCAAGTCTGCTCCATTATTCAATGAGATCATGGCTGATCTAATATTCCTCAATTTCACTTTCCTGCCTTTTCCCATGACTCTTGGTTCCCTTACTTATATTAATAATTTAACTCAGCCTTGAGATAAATTGAGATATTTATTGACCCTGCCTCAATAACGCTCTGCAGTAAAGAATCCCACAGATTAAAAACCCTCTGAGGGAAGAAATTTCTCCTCGTCTCTGTCTTAAATGTGTGACCTCTTCCACTGAGATTATGCACTCTGGTCCTAGACTTTCCCACAAATGGGAAACAAGCTTTCCGCATATACCGTGTCAAGCCCCTTAAGAATCTTGTGTGTTTCAATAAGGTCACCTCTGATTCTATTATATTTCAATGAGCATAGGTCTAATCTACTCAACCTGTCCTCATAAGACAGTCCCTCCATATCTAGTATCAGCCTAGTGAACCTTCTTTGGACTGCCTCCAAAGCCAGTATATTTTTCCGTAGATAAGAGGCCTAAAATTGTTCACAGTATTCCAGCTGTAGTCTGACTAGTGCCTTATACAGTTTTAGCAAAACCTCCCTACTTCTCTTGTTCCCTTTGAGATAAAGGCCAACATTCCATTTGCCCTTCCTATTACCGGCTGAACTTGGATGCTAGCTTTTTGTGATTCATAAACAAGTACTCCCAAATCTCTCTGTTCCCAGCACTGATTCCTGTTGTCACATCACTGGTAACATCTTTCCAACCTGAAAAAGATCTATTTATACTTACTCTCTGCTTCCTATTAGCCAACCAATCTTGTATTCATGCCAATATGTTACCTGTACAAAATGAGCTTTTATTTTCCAAAATAACCTGAAATGTAGCATCTCATAAAATTTCTTCTGGAAATCTAAGTACAGTTCATCCACCAGTTCCCCTTTATCCACAGCATGATAAGAAACCTCTTCAAACACCTCCAATAAATTAATCAAACACAATTTCCCTTTCACAAAACCTTGTTGACTCTGCCTGATTGCCTGAATTTACTCAAGTGACCTGCTGTAACTACTTTAATAACAGCTAACATTTTGCCTATGACAGCTGTTAAGCTAACAGGCTTGTGGTTTCTTGCTTTCTGTCTCCCTTTTTGAAAAGAGGAGTTAGATTTGGTATCTTCCAATCTAATGAGATTGTCCCTGAATCAAGAGGAGTTTACACCAACTAGCTTACTAGACACTCCTTTTCAGAACCTTGGATAAAGTTCATAAGGACCTGAGAATTTATTAGTCCACTGCTCCAACAATTTACTCAGTACCACTTCTCTAATGATTGTGATTTCCCTGAGTTTTTTTTTTGTTCATTAATGGGATGAGGGTGTCGCTGTCTAGGCAGCATTTATTGCCCATCCCTAATTGCCCAGAGAGCAGTTCAGAGTCAACCACATTGCTGTGGGTCTGGAGTCACATGTAGGCCAGACCAGGTAAGGATGGCAGGTTCCTTCCCTAAGGGACATTAGTGAACCAGATGGCTTTTTTTGACAATCAACAATGGATTCATAGTCATCATTAGATTCTTAATTCCAGATTTTTTTTTACTGAATTCAAATTCCACAATCTGCCATGGCGGGATTTTGAACCGGGGTCCCCAGAACATTATCTGGGTCTCTGGATTAACAGTCCAGCGATAATACCACTAGGTGATTGCCTCCCTTCCCTCCTGGAGTTCCTTCTTCCCTTTCATTTCCTGATTTATTGCTGCTTTAGGACTGTTTTTGAATTCTTTATTATTAAGGCACATGCTGCCTAAGCTGCTGGCACATCCTTGAGTTCTGACATTGAGGTGTTGATGCTATGCTTTGACATGTCTGGTAGACTGATTGTTCAGTGTTCTCATGGCTCAGGCTGTCCGTCTCTCCCTGTGTGCTAAAAAGCAAAGCAAGCCACAGAGTCTGACAGCCTACAGTTAAGCTTGAAAGACCTTGTGCACTAAGAAAGCAAAGTGAGCCACACAGCTTATGGCAGCCTTTAGGCCAGAATTGAAGTTGGTCAGTGTGAGGTAAGAAAGCAATGTAAAGTGGGCAGAGGCTGAGTGAGTGAGCAGAAAGAAGTCAAGGTGAGAGCATAAGATGTATGTTCATGTCAGCACAGAAGCATTCTCTGTAGATGCATGAGATGCATGTCGGTCTCTGCAAGCACAGTGACCTGTCAGAGGCATGTGAGTCATAGGTATCCTGAAATGCCAAAGTGTTGAAAGGTTGAGGTGGTGTGACAGTTGATCCAAGAACAGTCATGATGATGTGTTGAGGTTGGTGATTTGCCAGCACCAACTTATGTAAATGAAGAGTCTAGGAGAATGGTGGTCATGAAGAAGTCAAGGGTGCCTAAAGAAGCCATTGTATATTGCCTGGGATAAGCAGTCAGTGATTTGTAGCTGCCACATAGCCGCTCATATTTACGTGTTGGTTATTTGTGTGTTTAGCTTTTAGCTGGGAGAGGAGAAAATTGGAAGTGGAAGGAAATAGGACAAATGAGCGATTTAAAATGATAGAATCAGAGAATTATACAGTGCAGAAGAGGCCCTTTGCCCATCAAATCTGCACCAAAAAAAACAACCTTAAATCTATACAAGTCTCACTTTCCAGCACTTGACCCCTGGCCTTGATTGCTTTGACATTTCAAGTGGCTGTTCCCCTTGGTAAACTTATGCAACATCCTTGGATTCTCCATAATCTTACACACCCGTGCAAAAGCATCTCATTGAAGAGCTTTTCATTGAAGTATTCACCACTCAGAGGTGGGATTCTAAATTTGCTATTTAAGCCTTATGGGGAATATCAAATACTTATTCTTGACATTGAAATCTAATATTTTTATTGTCATCATACTTTGCCATTTTTTTTTACCATTACTGTCATTAAGTGAGGAAGCAGAAATTCTACTGCCTCTTTCTACATTCTTTTCTATAGTCTTTACCAAATTTACAAGCTTGGAGCTGTCTCTGTTTACCTCCTGAGATGTGGAAAATATGGTTTAAGACTCTCTTTTGATACATGCTAATTGAGTGCCACTTAAAACAATAACTTCTGTGATTTTACAATAAGACAATTTATTCATAGGTATATTTGGATATTTTACTGGTAAAATCGAATGCATTCAGCATTTAATTTTGTTTGGAAATTATTCAGTTATGACAGCTGTGTGTTTTGAAATCTGGAGGACCTTTTAAGCTACTTTCTGAGTCTTAAAAAATATGCACTTGAGTGCAAGACCCATTATTTGTGGCAACATTCTTTGAACATTTCTTTCCCATTCAGTTGCTGCAAAGTGGCAACTCTCCATAAAAAAACTACTTCCAATGTATAAATTATCTGTATTTATTTTGAACTTAATGGTCTCTCAATTCATCCACATAGTCTTTATTTTCCAGATGCTAACCAGCTTATTAAGCTTATAACAGGTAGAATGTATCTTGCCTGCTGTTTTGCGAAAGGAAAGAAAATCATTGTAACACGTCTCAAAGAAGCATTAGGTCCTCTACATTTACAAGTAAAACAGTTTGTTTGAGCTTAAAAGTTTAATTCAGTTGACCATAATAGGACTGTGCACCGTCAAGGACTTGATTTTCTCAATCTCTTAAAATCTACTTATGTGACTGTGAATCCAGGAGGAGCAAGATTTTCTTCCTCCTAATTCAACTTTAAAGATTATATGTCACCATAATGCACCCACCCTCACCAATCACCATCCACAATCCCCTAAACTCTAATTCCCTTGGATTCTGATCCCAGTCCCAATTTTTTTTTTGATGAATAACAATTTTTGTGTTAAAATTATAATTAACTCTATTTTTAACTGCGTCAGAGAGTTTTACACCAAAATGACTTGATGATATTCTTTTTAAATTTTCCTAAACAGGATGATCTGTTCCGATCTGTTGCAGCAATGAAGCGTGTTGCGCCTGGATACCGCTGGCGTAGGAGCAAGTGGGGTCGAGTGTGTCCTGTCTCTTTATTTGAAGGCAACTACATTTTGGGCAAATTGCAGTTTGTTGCTAGGTAAAGTTTCAGGAAAATTTCTGTTTCTGGTGATGCATTGATGTTTCATGATTTTAATACCTCAATGCCTTTTACAGTAGTTTTTTTCACCACTTTCACAAATCATTTAAAAAGCTATTGTGTCACTATTGTATTACAAACGGAAAATGGTTTGATGTCATGATTTCTTTACTTCTGATTTTGTAACATTGATGGCATGTCAACTACATATTTTGATGAAGATATTTCAACTTTTAAAAATAAGGATATTGGAAGACAAGACCTTTTGACTGTAAGAAACTTACTTCTCTAGTATGAAAGGCTGGATTGTTAAGTACTGTTAGGGACAGGATTTAAAAATTGTTTTCCCATAGGTCACCATTGCGTCACAATGCCTCCAGAACAGTTTGCAATTTTTAAAGTGCCTGCACAGAAATCTGCTGTCTGTCAATAAACAGCCACTTAAGTTTCAGAAGGAACTTGCCTAAAGGCCTGCTTGGAACAAAACAGGATTTTCAATCCTTTTTCCAGAAAAGCTGAACAATGTGACACACCTTAGAGCACAGCTGTCCAGGTAATAGAAAGTTAATTTCCATCCTCCCTTTCTCTTCATGGTCAGCATTTCACAGGGATTGTTCCCTCTATAACACACTGGTCCACTCCTTCATCATTGCTAACACTTCCTTACCACTACCATGCACCCCCAACTACCTTCTCAAGGGCAGCAAGGAATGGGAAATGAAGTGCAGTCCTGACTTTGGAAGATGGAATGTGGCAGTCTGTTCCATAGTTGGCCTTGTTGACTTGAAAGCCTTTCGACCAAAAGAGCCCAAAAGCTGAGAGTATCCTGCCCAGACGAAGGCTCACCATGGTCAGCTTGTACTGCTGGAGGCTTTTGGATCATAGCTTACAATCTCATGATAACAAGACATTCATTCAGCAACACAGAAGGTCAAGGAATTCCAAAATAACAAGAACCATTTGTCCTTTCCATTAATTTCAATTTGGGTTACCTGAAAGATTACCAACAGAATCTTAAGCAATTAATCAAAGTCTAAACTAGCTCATTCATCCTTCAAGCATGTTTTAATTAGGCTCTTTCTGGTCTGTTGAGCTCTGTAAAGTATTGATTTGCCATTCTTTCTTGGACTGTCCTCCTGGTCAGTGTTCTGATATTCAGCCTCATCTTCATCCTCAAAAGATATCCGTCATTCCCTCACTTTGGCTGCATCACAGCCATCCCCCTTAGTCAACTGCAATTGTGAAGAGCACAGTGTGCCACAATGATGCAGGAAACCCTTTCTGGGTTATTCTGAAAGGCCTCACTTGCATGCTTCAGGCATCAGGACTTCATCTTAAAGAGGCAAGTAGGCCTATTGTCTATTCTACTGTGACTTCCGTCAAAGCATGACCTGTATTGTATCTTCATTCTTCATCAGTTGGAGGTTATTATAAACGTGTGATGAGCCAGCTTTGGATGGTGATGGACCTTGACTCCCAGCAGCCTTCCCTGTATGGGCCATGGATTTCAGAAGAAGGCTGGAACCTGTGAATTCTCTAGCATGGAAGAGCCATTAGCACGTCCAAGGATATCTGATGCAGATCTCCATAATTTGGAAGCAATAGGTGAATTTAATTTAGAGTGGAAGTCGTTTCTGCTGATAAATTCTGCATGTTGTTGATAGAGCATGCTGAAGGCTATATAGGTGCAGTTGATAGCACCCTACATATGTGGGAAACCAGAAATGGTAGAGAATTCCAGTGCCCAAGTGGGTGGACGCTCATCATCACAATGGAATGATTTGAAGAGCTGTGCTGTAAGAAAATGCATGATTTAAGATTTGGTTGCTTTTATGGCTCAAGTCTTGGAAGGTGCCACATGCAAGCTGGTCCTTTAAATGAGCAGGTGGTATAAAAATCCAAGACAGCTATGATCTAGATGGCCACCAGGATGGGACTGCCACCTTGTCCTTATCAGTGCAAGTCCTCCTCCAACAGATGTGGAGGTACCTTCGACATGGACACTACCATTACATCTGGGAACACCACCCACTACATGTACAGTAGATACTGATGTGACTCAGCCAACGTTGCAGGCAAGGATGCCCCGAGGCATGGTACATTGGCGAAACCATGCAGACAGTACGACAATGGATGAATGGACACCGTGCAACTATTGCCAGACAGGGTGCCACCTCCCAAGGGGGGAACGCTTCAGCGGTCAAGGACATTCGGTCTTTGATCTTCACGTAAATGTCCTCAAGAGGCGGATTTCGGGATACACAACAACGCAGAGACGCTGAGCAGAGGCTGATAACCAAGTTCCGTACCCATGAGGAAGGCCTCAACCGGGATCTTGGGTTCATGTCGCACTACAGGTGACCCCACCACAATATACACTCTCACATATACGTATATGCACACACACTCACTCTCACAAACACACGTGCGCGCACACTCACACAGATCCTCTCTCATACACAAACTGTCTCCCAGCACACACATTCACACACTCTCTGTCTCTTCCCCCCCCACCCCCCACTCTCTTTCACTCACACATACATACATTATAGACAGTCAGTCAATGTGGCATTTTATAAATTCCTACTTTACAAATAAAACCAGTTTGACTCCAAACCAAAACACAAAACACAAGATTCTAAACAAGGCTTCACACCTAATATGCATTGTCTGACTTAAAATGTTACCTCTTCTTTACACTGATAAAACCTTTAGTTCTCTCAGGACAGTGACTTGAAAAGAATTTGGGGATTTACATATACATATTAATCAATTAAAACCTTCCAAATGATTAAACATTTAATAGCATCTCAGGTTTGTTTAATACATCCTCATCAGTGGTGTGACCCTTTGATCTTTTACTTGTAAATTCTGTGCCTGATACTATCTTTCTCACTAAAGAACAAGGAGCAAGGCTCTGAAAGCTTGTGTTTTCAAATAAACCTGTTGGACTATGACCTGGTGTTGTGTGATTTTTGACCTTGTCCTCTAACAATGACAGTGCGCGGATGATGGGGGGAGACATCTATAAACGCCACATGCCCTGTTTTTCTGAGTTGAAGAAACTGGAATCAAAGCTTGTAAATCCCCTTGGTAGGTCTTCTCCTGCTACTTTTCCCTCTGGAGGCGGTACAGCAGCATCTGTCTTGCTGGGTTTGCTGACCAAGTGGTAACTGCTGTCTCCTACATTGCCTTTGATGTGCTTCAACAACACAAAGATTCTAGCATTGGTGTTCTCCATGTGAGATCCAGGAGCATATAATCTGTGAAGGATGTCTTAAAAACTAGCACAATTTTATTGAAAGAATATCTGAGCTCCGACATGCATAATAGTTAACGGAGGCTGCACTGATGATGTTACCCAGCACGGTAACGAAACGTCTGCGGAACAACGAACCAACTCGGCGAGCCAACCAACCACAACATCCACAACCCAAGCTACAAATCTACTCTAAAACCGTACAGTTAACTATCAATTATCATCTAGCATTCTACCATTTAGACTCTACTTGCCAAACAGTCAACATTTTCTTTTTATACAGGATAGAATGTTGTTTTCTCCTTACTTTAGCATTTCTCACAAATTGTCTTGATTTGTGTAAGACAAAAAGCTTTGATAATGTGTTTCTTCAGCAATACTCAGGTTTTATATTACCAAATGACTACTTAAATCTCTGTGCTAATTCTGTTATACTTTTTCTAGTTTTCATTTTAATTGTCCTAGACTTTCATTTTGGAGACTTCATTTATCTTATTCTTAAAATAATTTTTGTTTTTCCGTGGGAGTATTGAAGCACATCAGCCTTGGTCTCATTAAATGGGGAGCAGGTACAAAGGGCTGACTAGCCTACTCCTGTACTTATTTCTTATGTTCTCATTCTTAGTTTATACATCTCCAAGGGCAGTACATGATGGGCAACAAATAAATGCTGGCTGAGCCAGTGACACTCAGACCTCGTGGATCAATAAATCAAGTTCAGCACAGTGTTTTTGAAAGTGATCATTTTTCCTCAGTTGAGATGTTTTGCAACCCTAGTTTTCGACATACTTGAATTACTTATTTTTCTTGCTGTTATAGTTTGCCATTTATGATTCGTATATTTTTGTTTTGGTCTTCACCTGGTGCTGATTTATGTAGTCTTTCAAATTGAATTCTAACATCATAAATGCCCTAAATAATTATTCAACTTCAAAAATATGAATGTTGTGTTGTTTGCTTGAAAAATCCTAGTCAAGGTATTAGTTCCCTCAAGTTGGATCTTTAATAGATTAGAAAAATCTATTTTTTATCCAAAGGTACTCATTCTGATTCTAATGTTTAGCTTATTTATGAGACAGTGGAGAGGATGTGGGGAGATAGAATATGTGGAAGAAACCTGGCATGACCATAATGTGGCAGTTACTCCAAATTTAACAGAAGGACATCATCATAATGTTTTCCTTTTGTGTCTGTCACTGCAGGCTACTAGGCTGCCCTGCTTGGAGAACGAGCAGCAGGAAACCACAACTTGGGTCATTTGCAGATGCTCCCTAGCAATCAGGAGGGAAGGCTTCCTCTACATCGGGGAAACCAAGTGGAGGCTCGGGGACCGCTTTGCAGAACACCTACGCTCGGTTCGCAATAAACAACTGCACCTCCCAGTCGCGAACCATTTCAACTCCCCCTCCCATTCCTCAGATGACATGTCCATCCTGGGCCTCCTGCAGTGCCACAACGATGCCACCCGAAGGTTGCAGGAACAGCAACTCATATTCCGCTTGGGAACCCTGCAGCCCAATGGTATCAATATGGATTTCACAAGCTTCAAAATCTCCCCTCCCCCTACCGCATCCCAAAACCAGTCCAGCTCGTCCTTGCCTCCCTAACCTGTTCTTCCTCCCACCTATCCCCTCCTCCCACCTCAAGCCGCACCTCCATCTCCTACCGACCAACCTCATCCCGCCCCCTTGACCTGTCCGTCCTCCCTGGACTGACCTATCCCCTTCCTAACTCCCCACCTACACTCACCTTTACTGGCTCCATCCCCGCCTCTTCGACCTGTTTGTTTCCTCTCCACCTATCCTCTCCTCTATCCATCTTCTATCTGCCTCCCACTCTCTCCCTATTTATTTCAGAACCCCCTTCCCCTCCCCCTTTTCTGATGACGGGTCTAGGCCCGAAACGTCAGCCTCTCTGCTCCTGTGATGCTGCTTGGCCTGCTGTGTTCATCCAGCCCTGCACCTTGTTGTCTGGGAAGGAGTAATAGGTAGGCTTGTCAGGGTGGAAGGAAAAGAGCCACAGACTAGTGGAAGGGAGACAGAGATCTGAACTGTTAATTGGGCGGACTGGTCAAACATAGCAATGGTTTATATTACCATGGGCAAGGACTAAAGCCTTCTTTGTACGGCAGCATGGCTGTTGAACTACTACAGTCTATCTGCTTAGGAATAACCTCAATGCTGTTACTAAGGGTGTTCTAAGATATTGATTCAACACTTGCATGGTGCTTAGAAGCCACATTCCCACATTTTAATTGTTAAATTGTCATTGATCCTGAGGGATTGGTATCGCGGTCTTAATTGCCATTTTAATCATCGCCAGGTAATGTTAAGTTCATTGAAACCACTATGATTTTCATGTTATTGATATTTATATCTTACTGATAACAGAATATATTATGTTTATCATTCTCTTAGAGTCATACAGCATGGAAACAGACCCTTCAGTCCAATCAGTCCGTGCCAGATGTAATCCCAAACTAAACTAGTCCGACCTGCCTGCTCCTGGTCCATATCCCTCCAAACCTTTACTATTCATGTACTTGTCCAAAAACCTTTTAAACATTGTAATTGTACCCACATCCCCACCACTTCCTCAGGAAGTTCATTCCACACACGAAGCACCCTCTGAACAAAAAATTTGCCCTTCATGTCTTTTTTAATCTTTCTCCGCTCTCCTTAAAAATGCACTCCCTAGTCTTGAAATCCCCCATCCTAGGAAAATAACAACTACCATTAATTCTATCTATACCCCTCATTATTTTATAAACATCTATAAGGTCACCTCTCAACGACCTACGCTTCAGTGGAAAAAGTCCCAGCCTATTCAGCCTTTCTTTATAACTCAAACCTTCCATATCCAGCAACATCCTGGTAAATCTCTTCTGAACTGTCTCCAGCTTAACAATATCCATCCTAAAACTGGGTGAGCTGAACTGGACAGATTATTCCAGAAGAGGCCTCACTAATGGCCTGTACAACCTCTACGTGACACCCCAACTCTTATACTCAAAGGTCTGAGCAATGAAGGCAAGTGTTCTGAACGCGTTTTTAACCACACTGTCTATATGTGATGTAAACTTCAAAGAATTATGTACCTGCACCCCTAGGTCCCTCTGTTTTACAACACTACTAAGGCCCTACCACTATTGTATAAACCCTACACTTGTTTGTTGTACCAAAATGCAATACCTCGCATTCATCCAGATTGAACTCCAGCTGCCATTTTTCAGTCCATTGACCCATTTGATTAAGATCCCTTTGTAATCTTACTACTATGCGACCAATTTCAGTGTCGTCTGCAAACTTACTCACCATGCCTTCTATATTTTCATCCAAATTTTTTATATAATGCGAAACAAAAGAGGACCCAGATCTGATCCCTGTGGAACACCGCTGGTGACAGGCATCCAGTTCGAATAGCAACCCTCCACCACCATTACTCTCTGTGTCCTGCCGTTAAGCCAATTACGTATCCAATTGGCAAGCTCACCCTGAATTCCATGTGACCTAACTTTACTAATTAGTCTACCATGTGGAACCTTGTCAAAGGCTTTACTAAAGTCCAAGTAAACAACATCTATTACCGTGCCCTCATCAATCTTTTTGGTAACTTCCATTAAAAAAACTCAATAAAGTTTGTGAGACATTATCTTCCTTGCACAAAACCATGCTGACTAACGCTAATCAATTTTTGCCTCTCTAAATGTCCATAAATCCTATCTGTTATAATCACCTCTAACAATTTACCTACAACTGAAGTCAGACTCACAGGTCTGTAGTTCTCTGGTTTCTCCTTACATCCTTTTTTAAACAAAGGTCCAACATAGCCACCGTCCAGTCATCAGGCATCTCACCCGTACTTATAGGTGATGCAAATATTTCTGCAAGGGGTCTCACAACTTCCTCCCTTACTTCCCACAATGTTCTGGGATGCATTAGATTAGATCCTGGAGAATTATCCAGGTTTACATTCTCTAAGACCTCCCAAACTTCCTCTTCTGTAACGTTAATTGTTTTTAAAACATCAAAATTTATTTTCCACATTTTCTAGACTCCATTTCATTCTTCACAGTAAAAACTGATGTGTAATATTCATTTAGTATCTCTCCCATCTCCTGGAATTCAACATAAAGACGACCTCCTTGATCTTTAAGGGCCCTAGTCTCTCCTAGTTATCTTCTTGCTCTTAATGTATTTGTAGTACCTCTTTGGATTATCCCTAACCTTATCTGCCAATGCTATCATATATCCTCACTTTGCCTTCCTGATTTTCCTCTTAAGAATGCCCCTACACCCTTTACGTTGATTAAGAGATCAGTTAAACCAAGTTGTCTGTATCTAAAATAAGATTTACTTTTATTCTTGACTACAACCTCAATATCTTTATTCATCTATTGTTCCTTAATCTTACCAGCCTTACCCTTCTCTCTATTAGGAACACAATGCCTCTAAACTTTCATCATCACACTTTTGAAAGCCTGCCACTTGTCAGTAGTCCCTTAACCTGCGAAAGTCTACTCCAGTCAACTTTTGAAAGTTCTAGTCTCATACCATTAAAATTTGCCTTACTCCAATCAAAAACTTTAACTTTTATGGAAGGCTTATCTTTTTCCATAACCATTTTGGAACTAATAGAATTATGATCACTAGAGCCAAAGTGTTAGCCTGCTTTTACTTCAATCACCTGCCCTGCCTTGTTGCCCAAAACAAGGTCTAGTTTTGTTCTTTCTCTAGTAGGAGCATCCATGTATTGATAAAGAAAATTTTCTTGAACATGTTTGGCAAATTCTTCGCCATCCAAACCTTTAACACTATGGTAGCCCCCGTCAATGTTTGGAAAATTAAAATTCCCCTGTTATTTCAACCTTATTATGCTTATGTATATCTGAGATCTCCCTACATATTTGTTTTCTCAATTTCCCTCTTACTATTGGGGGGCCTATAGTACAATCCCATCAAGGTGATCTTTCCTTTCTTATTTCTAATTTCTACCCATATGTTTTTACTGGACAATTTTTCAGAAATATCTCCATTAGTTACAGCAGTAATGTATCCCTTAATCAAAAATGCTACCTCCACCTCTACTTCTTTCCTGCCTCCTTTCCTATCTTTCTTATAGCATCTAAAACCCAGAACTTTGAGCTGCCAGTCTTGTCCATCTCTCAGCCAAGTTTCTGTAATAGCTCTGACGTCCCATTCCATGTTCTTAAACATGCCCTGAGTTCGTCAGCCTTACCTGTAAGATCCCTTGCATCGAAATGATTGCAATTTAGTTCATCAGAGTTACTACATACTCCTACTCTCTTTTGTCTTTCTTTTCTAATTGATGCACTGTCTTCACATTCAGAACCTTCCCCTTCAATCTTTCGATTTACACTGCCACGTAGAATTCCTCCACTTCCCCTCTCTATTAGTATAAAGTTTCCCTTACTGAACGAGCAAATCTCCCTGCTAAGATATTGGTCCCTTTCCGGTTCAGGATAGACATCCTTTTGAACAGATCTTTTCTATCCCAAAAAGCATTACAATTGTCGAAAAACCTGAATCCCTGAAAAATGCACCACCTCTTTTGCAATTGATTTATCTCCTTTATCCTTTTTTCCTTCCCTCATTTGAGTTTGGCATTGGGAGTAAACCAGAGATTACTACTTTTAAGGTTCTGCTTTTTAATCTTTTACCTAACCTCTTAAATTCACTCTGTGCTCCTTTAATCTTTTCCCTAAAAATGTCGTTATTTATAGTCTATAGAGTTTCATGATTAAACTTATCCTCCACCTATTCATCTCCAAGTTCAGATGTACAACTGGTGTTCATAATATTTTAATCTATTTTGCAGCTATCTGGACAAAATGTATTTCCTTTCATCTGAGGAAACTTTGAAGAAGTTTATCTCAAATCCTCGACCATACCTTCTCCCTCCACAGCCTCGTCCACCTTGTAAGGTTGCAATATTGGGTCCAAAATCTGCAGGAAAGACCACTCTCTGCAAATTGCTTGCACAGAAATATGATGCAAAGGTACAATGCTTCTATGGCTCCATTCTAAGATGTGATTATTTTGTGCACTTGTATATTTATTTTCCAGAGCGATCTCCCATCCTCGTGAATCCTGAGGTGAAGACTGGCACGGTCTTGAGGCTAGCTGCCAGCATGGACTGGGTTGGAAGACTGTTGTTCTGAACTTTTTTTTCTCTGTTTATAATTTATTCCTAGAGTCTGAATGCTGGACTTTTTACTTCTCTATTTTTCTAAGACCTTTGTACTGAAGATGGCGCCGTAAGCGGCGACTTATACACTTTTCACAGTACTCATTTGAATACATTTGACAATAAAGCTAATTCCAATTCCAGTTCTATTTCTAGTTATTAATTTACAGAAATATTGAAATTTATCGCAAGTGTGACCTGCAGAAATGAGCCAGACTGTGATTTGAATCTTACTTCTACAGTCTGAATAACAGTTATTTTCCACTTCTACTTAAGCCTGTAATTGAAACAGAAAAGTTTTCTATTTAGCATCATCATAAAATTAAAGTTGGTTTCAAGATTTTATACATAGTTGCCTACAAAAGCATAGGACTTGTCTAGGAAGATGAAAATCGTCTATCAACCCACACCAAATATATCAAATTCAATACTTTCAATTAAGTTCATGGTGTGAATCAATTATAATTCACTGGAAAAAGTCTCTCACTTCCCATATCTTGGAAACTATCTATACCAAAACACTGACATTGATAAAAAGGGACATGACCAAATCTAATGTGCTAGTTCAGCTATGGCAAATTAAATTCTTGAGTTTGAGAATTGTGAAATTAACTAGGCTTAAAATTCAAAGTCTTTCAGACAGTGGTTCTGCTCTCTAACTTCTCTGTGTTACTGAAGCTGGGACAACTTATAGATGCTATATCAAGGCCCTGGAACAGTACCATCAACACTGTCTTCAAAGAATCTTGCATATCAGAAGTGTTGTATTTAGACTTCCAGAAGGTGTTTGACAAAGCAACCTCATAAATGATTAAGTCATAAGAGCCCATAGTGTTGGAGGTAGTATGTTGGCATGGATAGGGAATTGGCTACTGGCAAGGAACAGTGAGCGGGTTTAAGGGATTATTTTCCAGGTTGGCAACCTGTAAACAGTGGGGTTTCATGGGGATCAGTGCTGGGACTACAACTGTTCACAATATATGGTAATGACTTGGAGGAAGAAAGCGAATGTACTGTAGCCAAATTTGCAGACAACACAAAATAGGTGGAAAGGCAAGTTGAGAGAGGAATACAAACAGTTTACAGATAGATATTGAAAGGTTAAATAAGTGGATAGAAGTTGGCAAATGGAGCATAATATAGGAGAAAATGAAGTTGTTCATTTTGGAAGGGAGAATTTTTTAAAATTCATTCACTGCTCATTCCTAAATGAAAACCAGAAATCAAAAAAAAACAGAATATTATTTAAATTGAGAAAAAACTGCAGAAAGCTGCAACACAAAGGAATTTGCAGGTACTTGTGCAAGAAACAAAGAAGGCTAGCGTGCAGATAATCAGGATAGCTAATGGAATGCTGGCCCTTATTTCAGGGGGGTTGGAGTAGAAGAGTAGGGAAGTCTAACTGCAACTGTACAAGGTGCTGACAAGACTACATCTTTAAGACCATAAGATACAGGAGCAGAATTAGACTATTCAGTACATCGTGTCTGCCCCACCATTCAATCATGGCTGATATGTTTCTCAACCCCTTTCTCCTGTCTTCCCTTGCTAATCAAGAACCTATCTATCTCTGCCTTAAAGACACTCAATGATTTGGCTTCCACAGCCTTCTGCAGCAATGAATTCCTCAGATTCACCACCTTTTGTCTGAAGAAATTCCAGCTCATTTAGTTCTAACGGGTCATCCCTTCACTCTGAGGCTGTGCTCTTGATTCCTAGTCTCTCATACAAATGGAAATATCTACCTCAAGTCCACTTTATCCAGGCCTGTCAGTATTCTGTAAGTTTCAATCCGATCTCCCCCTCATCCTTCTAAACTCCATTGAGTACAGATCCAGAGTCCTCACCGCTCTTCTCATGACAAGCTTCAAAATCTCTCCTCCCCCTACTGCATCCCAAAACCAGTCCAGCTCGTCCCCGCTTCCCTAACCTGTTCTTCCTCCCACCTATCCCCTCCTCCCACCTCAAGCCGCACCCCCATCTCCTACCGACTAACCTCATCCCGCCCCCTTGACCTGTCCGTCCTCCCTGGACTGACCTATCCCCTTCCTAACTCCCCACCTACACTCACCTTTACTGGCTCCATCCCCGCCTCTTCAACCTGTTTGTTTCCTCTTCACCTATCTTCTCCTCTATCCATCTTCTATCTGCCTCCCACTCTCTCCCTATTTATTTCAGAACTCGCTTCCCCTCCCCCTTTTCTGATGAAGGGTCTAGGCCCGAAACATCAGCCTTTCTGCTCCTATGATGCTGCTTGGCCTGCTGTGTTCATCCAGCCCTGCACCTTGTTGTCTCACCATCATTTATGTAATGACTATATAATTATAATATGTGTAAATTTTGTAAAGAAAGCTAATATATCTCTAAAATTTAACACAAAAGTCTGAAAAGTGACCCCCTGAAGTCATATCACTGTCCTTGATCCAGCTTTCTTGGAATCAATCAGAAAAGGAGATTTAAAAACAGAGAAAAGAGATGCAGGCTTAGACCATTCGGCTCTTTGCACCTGCTCTGTCATTCAATATAAATCACTTCTGATCATTGAATTCATTACCCTACTCCTACTTTCTCCTTTTGCCTTTTAATCCCTTTAGTTCTAAGACCTATGTTTAACTCCTTCTTGAAAACATTCAGTGTTTTAGCCTCAACCACTACCTGTGGCAGAGAATTCCACAGGCATGCCATTCTCTGGTGAAGGAATTTCTCCTTGTCTCACCCTCCAATGGCATACCATTAGACTGTGACCCCTGGTTCTAGACTTCCTGGTCATCAGGAACATCCTTCATATGTTTACTCTGTCTAGTCCTGTTAGAATTTTATAGGTTTACACGAGATCCCCCTTATCTTCTAAACTCTGGTGAACATAGTCTGAACCAATCAATTCATCATATGTCAGCCCTGCCATCCAAAGAATAAATCTGGAAAAAATTGGCTCAAATCTTCCAATTACCGTCAGATTGTCAGGCTGTTCCTAATTTTTTGTACTATGACTGAGCTCCACATTTCTCACTGGAGATTCAGATTCTGGCTTCTACAGAAGCGTAGAACATGCTTAAAATGCAACTATTCCTGACTCATCTGTGACAGCAGCCAGCTAGGAGCTAACGATTCTAAAAGGTGAGTCATGGATGTGGGTGAGATTCAGTTTCACTGTCTGATGTGGATTGATGGGAGCATGGGATTTGTGGGCGGGAGGGGTTTTGCAGGAGTGAGCACTGTCTGTGATTTGGAAGAGTGTGAGGCTGAAGAGATTAAGAGGCATAGGTGATTGATTCAGGACAGTCTTTGTTCCAGGGGGTGAATAATAGCTGTGGCTCAGGAGGGTGGTGGTGAGCATTGTCTGTGGTATGCGAGTGGTGAAGGTGTTGAGTGCTACCTAAGGAGGTGGAGCAGGCTGGTGTTAGCACTGTTCATAGTTTGAAAGGAAGTGAGCACTGGCTGGTTCGGGTGGTATTGTCTCTGGTGGAGGAGTCAGTAAGCATTGTCTGTAATGGGGTGGTGCAAAATGGATTTAAACACAGTCAGGGTTGGAAAGGTGAACATTGGTTCAACTGTGTGGGAGTGTTGAATATGAAAGAAACCAAGAGTGAACATTGCTGTAGGTACAGGACTCCTTTGACAATCCAGCTGATCTACTTAACAGTTACAATCCTAAGCAGGCTTTAGACTTGCTATTAAATCTGTTTAGTAAGTCTGTATGGAAGCAAGGATAAGCGAAGACAAAACACCTGAAATCTGTGTGAGAGATAGACCCGAAACGTCGGCCTTCCTGCTCCTATGGTGCTGCTTGGCCTGCTGTGTTCATCCAGCTCTACACCTTGTTATCTGAAATCTGTGTGGTTTAGCTGTCAGATTCCACTTCCATTGGAATCACGGAGCCAGCCGGACAGAGACAGAGTAAAACCAGCAATAAGAAGTTTAAACTTCCTATGTTAGAACCTTCGATACACTTACATTGGAACTTCCTCAGGGTTCTAAACCACGTTAACGGTGTAAAGTAAATCAAAGACCTCTATCCATATTGGACAATTTGGGCCATTTAGAATTTGATCAACCATGGGACAACACAATGGATCTTTCTAAATTATGAGAAGTCAAAGCTTTTGAGCAAACAGGAGACTGGAAGGACACTACAGGAATTCAATCAAAATTGACTTTACTTTTTGGAACAATGATTAACATATCAGCTATCTTGCTTTACTGGTGATACAACAGCCTGTAAGATACCACTATGTCAGAAGTCCTAGAAGGATTCCAAGAGTCACTGTCAGAGAGGGAGCAGTTGGTTAATGGGAGCACAACGTGAAAGGAATTCAGAAATCAGCTATTGTCCTGTTGAAAGTATCCAGGCAATTTACAAATGCCATAACACAGAACTAGTGACAGTATATCTATTCTCTCCAAAAGACTGCTCCACCTACTGAATCCATTGGTACAAACAGCTTCTGACCATTCAACTTCAGAAACAATAACAGCTGCTGAACCATTAATTTCCTAAAGAGAATCTTCAAGCAAGTAATAGGTCTTTGATGATAACAGACTAATCCATGCCTACTTCTAATCTTTGCATCTACATTTTAGCTAATAATTGTTTTCCCTTTTATTTAGTAACTTCCAACAACAATTGTGAAATAAACTAACCTTTGATCTTGTTTAAGAATAAGCTTTGCTGCTCGTTACTTTAAAATTTGAATACTCAAAAGACTAAGAACAGAGCTAAACAAGTTGTACAAGTTATACAGTTCACAAGCCTCTCAATGATCACTCTTGGTGTGCCATGGCACTAGGGAAAGGGTACCAGGAGAAAGACTG